ATCAATGGGGAAAACCAATTGCTTTTTTCACACATACTCTCACAGATTCAGAATGAAAACATGCAAATGCATTGAAGTATTAAAAAAATGCAGACATTATCTGGTAGGAAAGCAATTCAAACCAATCACAGATTAAATCACTATTTTGTTTATATAGAATGCTGGCATATATAAAATCTGACAAGGAGAACTAGCTTTACTTCACAAGAATTTATTAATTATCTCCACTCTAAAGGAATATTTCAAGTAGAACAACACCATATAACCATGAAGGAAATGGTTAAGTTGAAAGATACAATGAGTTATATAGAAATTGGTGAATCTAGCATTGAAAACCAAATATTTAGACATCACTAAATGAAAAACTGCTTTACCAGGAGCTCTGTACTATATAAGAAGTTTACTATTGAATTGTTATATTATTGAATCACGATAATGATGAAGATGAAGTCCAAATAACACATTAGAGAATTCCACTACTAAATCAATGCCAGATGTGACAGAAAATTTACCTGTTCAAAAACCTGATGATAATTATGAACCAAGATTGGAAAATTCAGATTTTCAATCTAGCTGTAAATCAGCTGGAGCTAAAAATAAACCAAGGTAGTTGCAATATTTTGTTCACAAATAGGGAAGGGTAAATGTAGTATAATTTAGTGTTCTAAATCTTGTGACAAGAACTTGTCAGTAATTAAATAATTTTTTTGGAATTCTAATGTCAAATTAAAGCCTAATAAGCAACAGACAGCTGTCAGACATTCTACTTTGTAGTACTTACATCCTAATCTAATAACACACACTACCAGTGGTCAGTGAGAACTCTTACTGTCTGGCGTTCTACTCACAGAAAAACAGAACTCAAGAACTCTGCTAAGTTGGAAACAGAAAAATTACATGATTTAGTTCTAGAAAGAACTTTATATACATTTATAGGATAATATTTAAGTCATATTTAAACCTATAAACCCAACAGTTAGCTCTAAGATTTTAAGATCCAGCACTATAAAGATGGAAAAATAACATTAAAAATAAAAAAATATGTAAAGTATTACCTAGTTACAATAATAATATGAAGTATTTTACAAAGTTACGTTTCCAAACTCTATCTTACCAGTAACTCTTTTCTACTAATATTTATATATTTATTGAGAGACATATTAAATACATTTAGATTTAGGTTGTTCTTTTGATTAAAAGTACATAGATGAGACAAACCATGATAATATATGGTACTCTAAGACCAATCTCACTCACAAGAGAGAGACAGATCCCTCCTCGCACTTAACGGCAAGCTCATGGACCTCTCCATATGATAGTGTAGTCATGGTCTGCTAATCTAATCCAACTTTGAAACAGGCACACCTGTAGAAATTATGTCGAACCCTCTCTAAGGTGATGATTTTTTAAGATAGTTGTTGAACCACCACCTACAAAATAATTCAAATAGTAAGCAAGTAAGTCTGATTTTATAATTAGGTTAAATTTATAATTAACTAATTTTATAAGTAAAAGGTCACATACATACATATATTGGCATAATAGTTCTTACCTGGTGCTGGTAAAAACAAACTCAGAAGGGCTGTTCTCGTAATACCGGTATGTCCAACATTAATTATATCATCCTCTTTAAAATGACTAGCGCATACACGAAAATTGTTATAAATAGTTTCTGTTGCAGCATTCTCTAATTAGGGCTTTTAACAGCATTCACCCATTTATCAAACATATCCATATTATAATCTCCTGGACTTGAAAAACGGTATTGCTTGCCAGCGGTAGTGTGCTTGCCTAGTATCCATGCAATCTGGAATACATCTTTTTTGTTCAGTTCTTCGTCACTATATTGTTATTCCATGTAATGTGTTCGATTCCATAATAAAAAATCGTCTAAAATTTTACCTTTTTGCACTACTTATATAAAAAAATTTAAACTATAAAATAAATTATAAAAAATAAAACAAATAAAAATATGGCGCCGTATTTGTCTAAATTCAACTTTTGATTTGACCACAGCACACTCCCTACGCGTAGAAACGAGACTAGCAGCGCCACCAAACGAATGGGCGCCTAAATCCGAACGTGATTTGACATTGCCTATCTCTGTTACCAATCTATAAATTTTATCTATGGTAATAAAAAAAATTACGCTTCAGTTTTATAAAAATGTGTAATATCACATAAGCCTCGTAAGTCATTTGGTCGAGTTACCATGGAAACGAATTAATAGACGTTATTTTGACAGATTAAAAATTATTAATCTGTCAGTGTAAATATAGTGGTAATTTAATTTTTATTTTTATAAACGAAAATAATGGTAGAAAAAGTATAGTACACAACTTGAGTTGTAAGCTTATTACATGCTTGTAAAATTACTGCGCTCGCCGCTACGCGGCTCGCGCGCAACTTTTTTACTCGCATGTAATAAGCTTCTTACAACTCTCGTTATGTAATATACTATTAACTTCCCGCTAGTATCTTATTAACTTTAACCCTACAGCTGGGCATGGGGTCCGTGATATAATGCGTTATATCACGGACGCGTTAGATAGAAATTACTCTTATGAGTGACAGAAAAGGTTACCATCTACTTTATCAGCTAAGATAATGGCAAAGATATAAATAATAATAAAGATTAAAAGAACGAAAAAGATAGTGCAATTTTACACTCGTAATTTTAGATTTATCGTAGTTCTTGAACCAAAATCGCGAAGAAAAATTTACATACCTTATGTATTTATTATACTACATACATTTTTCAAAATGAAGCTCTCTTTAAGTAGGTTATATTTGTATTTAACCGAGCCATCCTTGAAATTAAGAATGTAATGAAATTAACCTTATATATAAAACAAATCAGCATGCTACAGTAATTAATGCGAAATTTCCACTGCATAAAAGCTAAATTTTAATTAAAGCAAGTATATATCTGTGTATATGCCCTGACTTTCCATACTTTGCTAATCATAGTGTCAACATAAATTTGTATTTGATATAACAAAAGTACGAATAAACACGCTCACATTTACTTTTTATGAAAAGTAAATGTTTCAGATACTTTAACCTTGGTAGTACCACTTGATCTGCATATAATTTTTGTAACCCATTTGTTTATTTCAACGTGGGCGTTGTTTTATTGTTTGACGTAAGGTAACGGATATCCGACTCGGTCACATATTTCTACGTTTACTATTTACTCATTATTTTTAAATATTCGAAAATTCCACCAAAAACCATAAAAAAGAAATACGGTTTTAGAAAAATTCGTAGCATAGTCTTAAAAAGATTAAGTCGGTTTATGTATCCCATAACCTAGATCTCGATGCCACCGTTAATATACATATTTGCAATAAATTAATACTCAATTTTGATAAACATCACTACAAGCAGTATTGCTTTCATTTAGACAAGTAAAGTTATCAACGGCTAAGAGTTATTTTTAGAGAACTTATACCCAAGATTATAAGGTTTTAATTATGTGAGTTATACTATTTTGAAATCTAAGATTACTTAAGATCGTGAGGAGGTGAATCTTAGTTAAAGTATCTCCTTTTCACTATTATAAAGACACTTATGGCTAATCTTTAAGACAAACAATGGTAGCAAGAATGATTACAAGGGATTTCAAAGTATAACACAAAAATTCAAACATAAATTTTTCTTTAATAAATACACCTGCCTCTACGTTACAGTAAGTCCTGTACGAAGTGGCTGAATCTCTTAATAAGAAAGAAAAAAAAATTGTCTGCACAAAATACTTAACTTGCCATGTTGTCTTCCTCGAATAGGTACTGGATGGACAATTTCTAATAGTAAGTATGATATCAGGACTCTTATTAGCTTAGCACATGGCGGGCTGCACTGCACTTTTGCGTTGGTTTCGTGATATATTGGGTGAGATGGACCTGGTGATGGACGAGTTGGACACTATCGTTGACACGATCCAACACTATGCGTTGGATCGAGCCTGGTAGAATGGCAAAGTTATTCGCTTGGTGGAATGGACCTGGTAATAGACGAGTGCTGTACCATGACTTGGGATCGAGCCTGGTGGAATGGCAAAGCTAATCCGATTATATTTGTCCCAGTACATGAGACCCAAGTTACATTATGACGAAAAACATTCGAAAATATATTGTTGCTGGTTAGCTGAATATTTGACGATGAAAAGAGCTTAATTATTCTCTTCAGAGTAACATATTTAAACATTTAAAGTTTCAAGATGTAAGGATATTGATAAAAAAATTAATTAATGTATGTATATTATAATTTTGAGATACGAGGGACTCAGAAAAGTTAGTAGACAAGACAGATTAAAAAGTAGAATTTAAATGCCATTATTTTTAGGATAAAAACAAAATAATAAACAAAAATAAAGATTTTTTATAATAATACAAATTATCTAAGAACGTGAAAAAAGATTAATCGATAGAAAATTAGGGAAATGTAAAAAAAAGAAGCTGTTACGTTATGTAGGACAACAAAATTAACACACTAGAACTATAATTCAATATAATTTCACAATGGTTAACTTAATATATCTTCTTATTTTACTTATTTCTGTATTGATAGGGGTTTATTTCGGTATCTTTCTTGGTATTTTAATTTTTGCTGGAAAAGAACTATGAGTACTAAAACTTGAAAAGCTGGTACCTACAACTTTAGGATCACTACAAATGCCATAAAAGCGCCATAAAGAAATAAGATGGCATGGTATAAAAAATATAAAAATGAACAACCCTGTCACATTCTTTTGTGGTAACAGCATCGAAAAACATAAGTTTGAAACATTTTTGGTAATCACTAAATTTCAAACGGATAAATTGAAGAATATGGCTTTTAATGATCAGAATTAAGGGGAAATGGTAAAGCATATTGATTATTTAAGCAACTGCAACAGCGAAACACAAAGATGAAGACATAAAAGATGGCTCTGAAAGCCGTTAAGACAACAAAAAGTTCTTGAAAACAGCTGCAGAAATAATCACTAAAACAACCTGTCCCAAACAGCACAGTACGTTCTAAGTACGTACAATTTTGGTACTGTACGTACATGACGTAAAATGTACGTTTTAAGTACGTACATTGGAGTACATACCAGTACGTACAGAAGAGTACGTACATAGTACGTCTTAAGTATGTACCATGAGAAAGAAGAAATAAAGCATATTTTTATTAGGTTATGTTAACCTAACCTAACCTAATTTATTTGGTTTTTGGTTAGAAATTTTCCACGTTTATTTATACCAATTTATACTGTGGTTCCACATCGAGTACAGTTTTAATGTTTCTAGTTTCTACTATTATATTATTTATCTATGGTTTTAATGTGAAAATTGATCAAGACACAGTTTAATTTAAAGTTTTTTTACTTATTTTTGGTGTTGGTGCTAGTGTGGTTTTTTGTTCTTATTCAGCCGAGTGTTTTTTTTGAACTTATATATAGTCATACTGAAAAATTTCTTTTGTGGGTGAGGAAGTTAGATAAATAAATTATTAAATAAATATAAGTATATTTAAAACAAAATCATTTGGTAAATTTTAAGATTCATAAGTTTTGATTGTTTTTGTACTTGTATTTGCTTGTATCTTAGCAATTAATTAATTTAGGTATCTATTTTAAATTTTAGACATGTCATCAAATAGTAAACATTACAAAAATGCTACAAAGCAATTGAAACGATTTAATAAGGAAATAAATGTGCTAAAAATATCTAATTTCAATATTTCAGAGGAAAGTGATAATACTAGTTTAGATTATAAAACTATGGATATGACAGACACTAATGATAATTCAATGGATGTTTTTGAAAATTTTGAACACCATCCATTACCACACTCTCTTTCAGACACACTCTGTTTTGAATATGAGAATATAGCAGAAAACAATTTATTATTAGAAGATGAAAAATGTATTAGTGATACTACTGAGGATACTACATGTATTAAAAGTCTTACCAGTAACTTATCAGAATGGTGCTGTACACATAATATTACACATGTGGCTATTAATGACCTGTTAAATATTTTAAAACCATATCATCCTGAATTACCCCGAGATGCTAGAACTCTGTTACACACTCCAAGAAAAACTATTCTACAACCAATAAATTCCGGTCACTATGTTCACTTTGGATTGAGAAATTGTTTACAAAAACTACTGTCTCAGTTTTCTGGAAAAGAGTCTCTTGATACTGTAGAAATTTTAATTAATATAGATGGTCTTCCACTTTCAAAAAGTTCATCCAGTCAAGTGTATCCAATTTTATGCAGTTTATATCCGAAACAGGGACCAGTTGATATAGTTGGTATATATCACGGTTATGAGAAACCCAAAGATTGTAATTTATTTTTAGAAAAATTTGTAAAAGATGCCATAGAAATAATTAATAATGGTATGAACTATGAAAGTAAAACTTATTTTATTAAAATTAAAGGTTTTATTTGTGATGCTCCTGCTAAAGCATACATTACATGTACTAAAGGTCATTCTGGTTACATGTCTTGCAGTAAATGTGACATCGAAGGGGTTTATACTAATAGGATTTGTTTTCCTGATACGAAGAATTTTCATTTACGCACTGATTCTCAGTTTAGATTAAAAGTTCAAGAGGAACATCATACAGGTACAACATGTCTTGAAAATATTCCCCATTTAGATATGGTAAAATCATTTCCTCTTGATTATATGCATTTGGTTTGTCTAGGGGTTGTCAAAAAATTATTAGTCTCTTTGTGGCTTGATGGAAAACCAACAGCCAAACTTCCTTTTACTAAAATAACACAACTCTCTACACTTTTAATTGAACAATCACCAAATATCCCTAATGAGTTTAATCGTAAACCAAGAAGTATTTCTGAAAGTAAGAGGTGGAAAGCTTCAGAATTTAGGCAGTTTCTGCTCTATACAGGACCTGTCGTTTTAATTGATATACTATCAAAAGATAAGTATAAAAATTTCCTTGTGTTAAATGTAGCGATAACTATACTTTCATGTTCAAAACATTTTAAATATTTAGAATTTGCCAAAACTTTGTTAATTTATTTTGTTGAAACTTTTATCATACTATATGGGAAAGATTATGCCTCACATAATATTCATAACTTGCTGCACTTAGTTGATGATGTTAAATTATTTGGTCCTCTTGACAGATTTAGTGCTTTCAATTTTGAAAATTTTATGCAGAGAATTAAAAAAATGTTGCGGAAACAGGATAAACCACTTCAACAATTAATAAATAGAAAAACTGAGCTTGATATGTTGCAAAATCAAGCAAAAGTAGAGCAAGATAGTTTTCCTTATTGTAGTAAGCCTCATTTTAATGGACCATTAGTACATAACAATAAAACTACCAATCAGTTTAAAACCCTTACTTTTAAGGATTTTATTTTGACAACAAAAGAACCAGATAATTGTTGTATTTTAAATAATGGGAACATTATAAATATATGTAATTTCATATTAAGAGAGGATAATCGAATAAATATTTTGGGATATGAATATTTAGAGAAGGACAACTTTTATGAAGAACCATTTAACTCTTCAAATTTAAATATATTTCTCGTTAATAAAAAAATTAGCCCCTTGAGTGTGTGGAATATAGAGGACATTTTATGTAAATGTGTAAAACTAATGTTTAAAAACAAATTTGTCACATTTCCTCTTTTACATATAGAAAAATAGATAGAAAAACTTGTACTTACAAGATTAAAAATATTTTTAACTAGTGGTGTGTTGTCACACATGGCACTTTCCCTCAAAATGCATATCTAAGTAGGGATACGTTAGTTGAGATTATTTTATTTAATTTTCATCATTTTATTAAAATTTGTAATTGTCACATGTGCACATCTTTAAATTTTATATTCTACAAAAACAATATAAACTTCTGATAAATATATATGCAAAATTTGATATAAAATGGATTAATTACCATAATATTTTGTAAATCCCCTATTTCAATGAACAGCTATGAGTTTTATAATATTTATAAAAATTATATAACTGCACAGTCTGCTAAATTTTATATACATTCACTATTTAAACAGTTCGTTATCATTACATTCTTAAAAAAATTGTTTCTTGATAGAACCTCCTTAACTTACACCAGTGTTTGAGGGAAAGTAAAAATGATTATTTACAATTTATTTATTTATTAAACTTCTTCAATTTTTGGTCTGTAAAAAAATCAATTACAGTAATCTTTGTAAAATATATTTAGACTGATTAGACTGATATTGAATATGGCTGACAAAGAGACATGGACTGTTGTAAAATTTTTGGAGGAGTCTTCAGTGGCTGCTGTGCCCACAAAATGGATATTTGAGGACAAATGTCTTTGGCCCCCATTCATTGCTGAAAAACTTAATTCAGCAATTAAAAATCAAAAAATTGAAACTTGCTGGCCATCTCACAAAGTGCAAGTTTTTAGGAACTCAACTTTTGGTAAGGAGCAATGATATTGTTAATATTGTAAATTGGTAATAAATTATTACACTATTTTCAGATTCATATGAAATTGCTAGGGCCAAAGCAAAGAAAGCTGAAGATACCAGTGACCTCAGTTCAACAGATACTGAGAAGCACAAAAGAAAATTGAAAAAAAGAAAAATATATTCTTCTGAATCAGAAGAGGAATTTGAACTATCTGTTCTACCTAACATGCCATCTCTCCCAAAAAAACAGAACATAGGTAATAATACAGGATGAAAATTTTAATGTTTGCCTAATCAAAATTTTTTTGTTTCAGAAATAGATGATCATATTCCAACAGAAATATCAGCTGGACTCTGTTCCCCTAAACAAAATGTAACACCATCCTCAACAAGGAGCAATAATTTAATTTCAAAACCATCCACCTCAACAAGGTGCAACTGCTGCCCCCATCATGGTACTTACATTTTATATTGTTTATTAAATTTTGATTTCTTTCATCATAATTTTTTAATTTTTCTCTTTTAGCTGAAGTTAATAACGAAATTTTAAGGCAACTATATTTTTTAAAAAGTGTGCATATAGAGTTACTTAAAGAGGTTAGAAATATCAAAGGTAACACTGAAAATGAAGATTTATGTAACATGGTACCAGTTCTTTCCAATTTAAAAGTACCATGTGACACTGTTGAAGAATTGCAACAAATAGAAGATGTTTTAAAGATTTCAGACAATTTTAAAAATATGGTACGTGTACTTAAAAAAGATCTTTTTATTTAATTTTTAATTGACTATACATATATATATATATATATATATATATATAAACTAAATCACAATAAATACTAAATGGGTGTTAAAATCATATATACTTTTGTTTCTAGGTAAATGAGCTGTGTAAATGGGGCGGCAGCAGCATTTTGGATTTTGTTAAAAGGTCTATGGGTACCTTAATTACAAACAAACTGGCAACTAATTATAGCTGGCTTGGAAGACGAAATAAACAGGCATTTTGCCAATTCAGCATCGCTGCAGTTATAGTGGGTAAGATGTTTTGATTTTTAAGACTGTAATTACATGCATTATGTAATGAAGATAGGTACTATAGATTTAACTATAATTTATTGGGCTTAAAATAAACCATTTAAGTGCTAAACTAGAGGGACATCAGTCTTAAAACAGATTTTTTTAAATTATTGTAAAAAACAACCCACCTCCAAATTTCTAAATATTTAGAGCAGTTGCAAAAATGAATTGATTTTCTGAGACACACAAGGCAGAGACATACATTTAGCAGTATTATTTATTTATATGGGTGTATTTTCATGGATTAATTAATGCTTCAGTTGATGATGGTTGTGATAAAATATTCTTTATCATAAGTATCCAGTTTTATAATTTGATATTCTTTCTTTATAGAAGCGGCAATGAAAAGCCAAAAATGTAGTGATAAGAAGGTGGCGGAACAAGAGATTGGACGATGGTTGAGGAGAGCTGGGGATCGCTTGAAAATTTTTAAAGAAAAGGAATTAGATTAAAAATTGAATTTATTTTTTACAAAAAATAAAGATATATTCACCTATATTTACTTTTATTTACCTAAATCATCATATATATATATATATATATATATATATACATAATATGTACTAGGTACATACCTTCAATATGTACTAGGTATGTACCTTCAGTACATACTAGGTACGTACTTTCAGTATGTACTATGTACGTACCTTCAGTACGTACTATGTACGTACTTTCAGTACGTACTATGTACGTACCTTCAGTATGTACTATGTACGTACCATAATTTGGAAAATGTACGTCTTATGTACGTACTAAGTACGTACTTCGTACAGCACAGTACGTACATTGTACGTACTTTATGTCCCAGCAGTACGTACATAGTATGTCTTATGTACGTACTTGTGCTTACTGGGGTAAGATATTGCAAATAGTAAAATAAAAAGTAAAAGAAATATCGAAACATATGATAAAGAATATCGAAATCAGCTAGAAAAAACCAGATAGTTACAACGAAAAAATCCGAAAATAAAAATACGACAATCGAAAAACAAAAAAAAAATAAAAGGAATAAAGACAATTTATTTTGAGTACGATTTCCGAAGTAGAAATCTAAATGTTAAAATAAATATATTTTTAGGTAAAATTGTAGTTTTATTCCCATTCAAGATAATCAATAAATATTATTAAATATAAAATATTTAATAAAAAAATATACTGAATTATGAGAACAGTAGGATACAACATACAAGCTACAGTTATAGGTGTAAAATAAATAAAATTATTCTCTAACTTCAGTATACTCTCCTCATAACTTTGTGTTAAACAGAATAAATATATTGATGTTCTGAATAGGTTAGGTACCTACTACTTGAATAGTACCGATGAGAACAATACAAGGAACACTCTTTGAGTTTCAAAACAAACCACGAAAAACTGATAACACAAGATTGTAGATGTTATCCATAGGAAAACCTACTTACCCGACGGACAAACAAAATTCCAGATGATTTCATTAACTCTTTTATCTGTAAAAATATATCTACAATTTTTTTGTAAATAGATGAAAGATGGGATATGAACTTAGATCACCCACTCATTGTAATCACATTGTAATTGAAAACATAAAAAACCAATTAAACCAATATTAAGAACCACACGTATTGATTGCAATAACTTCAAACTAAACCTAGAAAAATTATATTTATGTTCCATTACGTAATACCGAAGTTAGAACCAGTTATAAGAAGAAATTAAGATATTTACATAAAAAGCTTAAACTGCCTGGGAAAGTACAGTAATGATAAAACACGAAATAAAGAGACATAATTACTCTAAAGGGGTAAGAGATTTAACTACAGAAAACAATAAGTTAAGAAAGAGATGGAGACAATAACCTAGATTTTCTGTGAATAAAACTACATCAAAATAAATATTGCCAAATTTAAAAATCGAAATTAAAAAGTGTATAGAAGTAACATTTAGTACCCACGTTAGAGAGTTTAATGACGAGAAAATATTGATCATTCACTATGGAAAACTAGTAGAAAGCTCCAAAGTCAAAGAGTATAAGCTAAACACGAGACTGGACAATTTAAAACGAAAGAAAATAATAAAAATAAAGCAGAAAAGTATACTACATGTACATATTTAGAAAATATCTTTATATAAAGATATTTTTTATATTCTTTAGTATGAAACCATAGAAAATGAGACAAATAAAGAGATAACGCCCAAAGAATTAATGTAATGTTAATGTTTATGTTCAGTAATTTACTTAATAGCTGAAGAAATTTTAAAACTTGTATCGAAAAAGGCTATAGTCAATTAATAATATAATAAACTCTGTTTTTTATTGAAAATGCTTACAAACTTTATAAAAAGTTGCAAAAATAGCACTAATTCTCAAAACAGGTGAACTAACCGATGAATTTACATCTTACAGGCCAACTTTACTGTTTATTGTTATTTATAAATTATTACTAAAAGGACTTAAATCTATTATTGGTAAACAAAGACCTATACAGATAGACAGAGTATTACACCATCACACCAATTTAGATTCCAAGATCATAACTCAACTAATAATCGATCAAATTGACTAGTTATTGTTATAGAGGTATATATAGAAAATTTTAAATTTTTTTTACACTAATATAATGACAGTAGGCAATACTAATAACGAGTCCATGAAAAAACTACAGGAGCCATTAACCAAGTAACAGATTGGATGGTAAATAAAGCTTATATATATATATATATATATATATATATATATATATATATATATATATATATATATATATATATATATATATATCGGTTTTAAAACGTTTTCCTACGTCTTCCGATGCCTAGTCGCCATTCACTTCGGTCCATCCAAAGGTCTTCATCTAATTCTCTTTCTCTCATACTTCGATTTATGCCTTATCTCCAACTAAGGCGGGGTCTTCCTCTTTTTCGTCTACCATGAGGGGTCCACGTTAGGATTTGTTTCGGGAGTCGTTCTTCGGACATTCTTTGTACGTGTCCATACCATCTAAGCTGTTTGGTACTAATGTCATCCACTATTGTGGGTAAATAAAGCTTAACGAATCTAAATCTGTCCATGTGAACATCCACCTAAATATTATGTCGTACACAAATAAAGCGAAATATTTTGGCATGACTTCATACACAAAGTTGGAAAGAGCATATGAACAAGAAAAACAAGTTGTACTAGCTGAACGACTTTCAAATATTCTACTACTAAGAAATATAATGATTGGTCTTTAGTTTTCTCGGTTTAGGAATTACAATTACCTGTGTTCACTTAAGTTAGAAAGGAATATTTTCTGAGTAAAGCATGTCAGTATAAAACATTAAAAGCTACTGTTTCGTATATGTGTACCAGGAACCCACGATGGATGCCATCAAACCTGATATTTCACTGTGAACTGTTATATCATATCAGTCATATCGGTACGCCAGTGCAAACTGTGAAGGATCCTACCCAGCTAACTAAAACTACTGGATGTAGACCAAAGCGATGGCAAGAAATAACCACTAGAATAATTTTGCAACAAATCGCATATAGACACCGGACACATGACATGAAAACGAAACTTATGGAAATGATGATCACGAAATTTGTAAAAAGGATAAACCATAAAGAAGGAGCCTTAAGACATACAAAGAAATACACAAAAAAAATAGAGGTCAAGACCTCGCATAAAAAATAGAAGACGAAATCTCGGTGCAATGCCCATAGTTCACGAACATATTTCGAATGGAGGTACCTATGCTGACAATAGTAATCTTTAGAGAACCTAAAAAAGGTCAGGCCCTCTTAATATATATATATATATAGATATATATATATATATATATATATATATATATATATATATAAATATATATATATATATATATATATAAATATATATATTTATATGTATATATATATATATTTATATGTATATATATATATATATATATATATATATATATATATATATTTCAGAAGCTTGGTTCTAAAAGGGCCAATGTCAATTTTAGACTGTTTGGGCATAAGTGCATTTTTGTCTTAGATTTCAAATAAACAACACTGTGTAAAAAGGGCCAATGTCTAGATAGAGTAATAACAGACTTACAGCATTACTTTTGGCCAATGTCAATCTCTAATCAACACTAATTTTTAAAGCAAAGAGGACCAATGTAGACTCCAGCCTCAATGCTTCTAAAAATTTTATTTCTATACAGGCCAATGTTGACATTGGCCCTTTTTTAACAAAACCTTCTTCGATTTGATTTGACATTGGCCCCTTATTTCTAGGTTAGATTTCTGTCTATTATCGTGAGTGCAAAAGTAGTACCTAATGTTGTATTAAAAAATCGACAGTGGCTCTGAGGCCTCTGAGTGTGTGTTTTAAAATACAAAAAGTGATGGAGCAGTTATACCGTGGAAAGAAACTTGTTAACTTGTGTAAGTTAGACAAAATGGAAGCAAATAAACAAGCCGGTAAGTAAATAGCTTAACTTTATTTTAAAAATTGGTAATATTACAAGATTTAGATGTAAGGACGAAATGATAACTAAGTAAAAAATTGTATACTCAAAAAATGTACCATGTAGGACAAATTTAGTGACTAGGCCGACTGTATGAATATTAGTAACTTATGCTAAGACATTTCAGTCCTATAAATCTTATTTTCAAATCACTAAGTGCAATTTAATAACAATTTTTATTGAAATTTTAGATAATGTGCCGCTGCCTCCAAAACAGGATGATTCGACTGTTTTACAAGAAAACTATGATCCTGGACTAAGCATTTCGCCAGGTAGATAAACCAATGTAAATAGTTCTTTGTTTCAGATAATTAATTTTTTGCTCTCTTTGTTTCAGACAATAAATTACAAGATATAACAACTGAACAATCATCATCGAAAAATACAATAAAGAATAAACTGAGGTCGAAATCTTCTGTGATATATAAAGAAGAAAATGATAACTCAGAACGATTTAAGACTTTTGATGGAAGTTCAAGTGATGAATTTGAACCTTATGATAGTGACTCTTCTGACTCGGACAACTCAGATCCTAGTAAAATACAAAAAGACAATCATATTACTGCAGAATCAGAACATACGCTGACTGTCTGGAATGAAACTTCTTATAGAAGAGGAAGAAAAAAAGTTCTGGACGGAGAACAAATTAGAAAAAGGAAGCGTAATCCAAATAATTGGGAAAAGAATAAAAGAAAGAACTTAAAAACACTTGGAAAAGAATATGTTACAATTCAAGGTAAAAAGATTTCAGAGAAATCATTAAAAAATCCATGTCAATGCCGAAAGAAATGTTTTGAAAAATTATCAAATGAAGAAAGGCAGACCATTTTTAGTGAATTTTATAATCTTGCTTGGGAAGCTCAAAATCAGTTTATTGCCAGTCACATTCAAGAAAGAGAGAAGGCAGTACAAAGAATAAGAGGCCGTAATGAAACAAGTAGAAGAAAGTATAGCAGGCAATATTATTTAGATTGTAACTCAGAGAGAATTGAGGTTTGCCAAGTTATGT